ATGTGCCTCTGTAACCCTTTCCACTACCGCCTACAAGATGGGTATGGGGTGCATAATAAATGAACTAAACTAACTTTGCGGGCGGGTCGTCACATGTGACAAAATCTGACCTGACCGGATCCACTCTCACGTACCCACTAGTCATAGCCTGATCTAACCTCACCCTAACTAACTTAGGACCACTAGATGTGACCTAACCCCAGCCAGGGTTGACCCGGACCTAATCCCAGTTACATTAAATTAATCTTTGCTTATTTACGTCGGTCGCTGAGTTTACATAATTCCTCAATATGTCATCAGGCTCTATTTGTGTTCTAAATTTAATCTTCATATTTTCCACTTACGTGAGTAGCTCAAGGTCAGGGGTGGAGGGATGGGGGGGGGACTAGAGATGTACCACTGTATTTATTTATTTATTTATATACAAGAAGGTACATTGGGTTTGTGAGAATACATAGCATAGTACAGTAATTACACTCTTGTAAAGCCACTAGTACGCGCAGCGTTTCGGGCTGTAGATAATGTTGAGAATTAAGCACTCTGGGGCCAGATTCACGAAAGCACTTACGAACCTGTACATCTTCTGAATCTTTGGCGGCTTTGTTTACAATTATTAAACAGTTAATGAGCTCCGAAACACCAGGAGGCTGTTGATAAGAATGACAACAGTTGATTGGGGAGTTTTCATGCTTGTAAACTGTTTAATAAATGTAACCAAAGCCGTCAAAGATTGAGGAAAGATGTACACGTTCGTAAGTGCTTGTGTAAGTGCTTTGATGAATCTGGCCCCTGGTTATTAGGAGGGAAGCGGGGGCGGCGTGGAGGACTTACCTCTTCAGGAAGGTGGACACTGTGGCGAAGATCTCCACGTGGCCGGCGTAACGGGGCGAAGATCTCCACGTGGCCGGCGTAACGGGGCGAAGATCTCCACGTGGCCGGCGTAACGGGGTGCTGCAGTGTTGCCTTCACAAGGGCCTTGTTTTTGTCATGTAGTAGCGTTATTCTCGTTCAACCAGTTTGATTGATCACGGGTAATAACGTCTGATTGTTTTTACATTGTTTATGTAATTTATCTAAAAGTAGAATTGTAAGGTATATGAGGTGTGGGAAGGAAGCGCCCGGAGCCACGAAACAATGGCTGTCCTTGCACCCTCCGTGCGGGGGGGGGGGGGTAATAAATTGGAGGAAAATCCAATAGGATTTGTGGTACAAATAGTGGTTTTGGTGGGAGTGGAGGGTGGTAGTTATGGTGACAATGTCACTTGTATGATTAGCAGGAGAGAGGATTGTGCTTGTGTTATAGTGCCTCTTGAGAGGGGGGGGGGAATGTGGTGGTGGTGATAGGATAGGACTGGGTAGACGATGGCTCTGGTGTTAGTGCCGGTGGTAGGGTAGTGTGGGTAGGGACATGGTGCCAGTTGCTAGGGTGATGATGCCACTGGTAAGATAAAGTGGGGAGGTTGATAGAGAGGGGAATTGTGCCCGGCCGCCCTAGGGCGCCTGGCACCGGGGCCGCGGAGTGTGGCAGGCAGGCACTCATCTTGTTTACCAATAAAGTTTATCAGTGTTGGCAGTGCCTGTGTGCCATCTTTACGCTTCGCAGAGTTATGGCTCTACTTGGCTCCCAGTTTGGGAGTAAGAAAGCATTGTGTGCGGGATGATTCTCTTCTGAACAATGTGAAGTGTTTAACACAACATTTGATCGGTATCCGAGCTAAATTATAGCGTATTTATTGTCTTATTATTTTGCCGTGTCAGCGGAATTTGATGTTTGGACTGTTAATCGGTTGAGAAGAATAGAGGTTAAGTGTGCGCGCACGAGCGTGCGTGCGTTGTTAGTTTAGTCAGTATAGGGTTAGCGTGTGTTTGATGATGGGTGATGTGTGTGTGTGTGTGTGTGTGTGTGTGTGTGTGTGTGTGTGTGTGTGTGTGTGTGTGTGTGTGTGTGTGTGTGTGTGTGTGTGTGTGTGTGTGTGTGTGTGTGTGCGTGCCAGTGGAGTAGGGAAAGTGTTGGCTATGGCCGCCTTTATTGGTAGGGGGTTGGTTCTTGGTGTGTTTGGTGGGGCTTGGCTGTGGGTGTATTTGTTGGTGGAGTTTACCTGTGGCAGGGGAGGGGGGGGCATGTTGTGGGTGTGTGGCTATATGTCATCCAGTGGTGGGCATGATTACTGCAGGAGTGTGACGGGGTGGGGGTGGGGGGGGGTTAGACACACCCCGCTGCCATCCCGTAAACCCCACCTCAACCCCCTTCCTACACCCCGTTTCTAGGCTCTAGCTGCCACCCCTCTGCCACCCCGCCACCCAACACTTCCGGCCGTGATGGAGATGGATGGTTTGTGTAAGAGTTTGGGTTTACTGAGCCACAGTTCCTGTCCGGCAGTAATGGAGAAGTGGTGGTGGGAGGTGGCGTCGTGACCACACCTTCACCAGGTCACACTACTGTGTAACCATCCCTCCCCCCCCCCTCCTTTGGCAACCTGCAACGCTGTAACCCAGCCATGGGGGGAGAGGGTTACTGTAACCACATGCTGAGGGTTTACTGCCACTGTAATCAAACTATTGGGAAGTTTACTGCCACAGTGCTTGGCTGTCATGGCTACCAGGCAGATTAGCGGCCCAAGAGGACGTTAGCGACGTTGTCTTCGTCCGTCCCCTCAGTAGGCTGAGAGCGGCGCCTGGCGGCAGGGCCAAGAGAGGCCTGGGCGGGGATTACTGTAGTGTGGTGTTACGGGTGCGACCCTGTTAGTCAGTAGCCACCACGGACGTGTACTCCTCTACAGCTTCCATGTCACCTTCAGCAACAACCAGTTATACTTCTTGTGCCTACAGTGTCTAGGCTGGGAGCAACCGCATCCAACAGCTTGGTTGATCAACAACCCTGAGGTCTGGTCAGAGACCGGGCTGCGGAGATGTTGATCCGCGGGATCATCGACATGTAGTCAAGAGGACCCCTTGGTGACCTGCCGTACCCCAGCGACCAGGGGGGGGGGGCTCCTGCCCTACTCTAGCGACCACCACCGTGGGGTGGAGGAGTTGGGTCACCGTGGGGGTGGAGGAGTTGGGTCACCGTGGGGGTGGAGGAGTTGGGTCACCGTGGGGGTGGAGGAGTTGGGTCACCGTGGGGGTGGAGGAGTTGGGTCACTGTGGGGGTGGAGGAGTTGGGTCACCGTGGGGGTGGAGGAGTTGGGTCACCGTGGGGGTGGAGGAGTTGGGTCACCGTGGGGTGGAGGAGTTGGGTCACCGTGGGTGGAGGAGTTGGGTCACCGTGGGGTGGAGGAGTTGGGTCACCGTGGGTGGAGGAGTTGGGTCACCGTGGGGTGGAGGAGTTGGGTCACCGTGGGTGGTGTTGGCACCACGCCTCATAACAGGCTTCCGCCACCATCAACTTATTAAGGTGATTGCTCAAGTTTGGTGGAGTAGTTAACGCGGGCGATGAAGCCTCCCCCCCGAGGCCTCTACACCGTCACCCGGGTGTTGCACAGTGATCACTTCCACACCCAGTGCATGTGGCAGTTTACCTTGCAACACGTCGGGTAGACTGGTGGCTCAGTGGGTAGAGCTGCGGCAGATACATATACATATATATATAATATATTATTAGTATGTGTGTGTGTGTGGGGGGGGGGAGGTAGAAATAAATATATTAGACATTATAGAGGAAAAATAGATTGGCTAGAAAGACGGAGTCCAAGGGCTAACAGCTCGAGTCTGCGGACACAAATAGTAAATCCACTCAAAGTTATGAAGAGAGGCTACTGACGTTAAATATGCCAAAGATAGAAGATAGAGGCGATATGATTAGAAAATAATTACAAAATACTAACTGGGCTCTGTCATATCTACACTTGAAACTGTGTATGGAGTCAGCCTCCACCACATCACTTCCTAATGCATTCCATCTGTTAACTACTCTGACACTGAAAAAGTTCTTTCTAACGCCCCTGTGGCTCATTTGGGTACTCAGTTTCCACCTGTGTCCCCTTGTTGGCGTACCACCAGTGTTGAATAGTTTATCTTTATATATTCTGTCAATTCTTCTGAGAATTGTGTAGATAGTGATCATGTCTCCCCTTACTCTCCTGTCTTCCAGTGTCGTAAGGTGCATTTCCCACAGCCTTTCCTCGTAACTCATGCCTCTTAGTTCTGGGACTAGTCTAGAGGCATACCTCTGAACTTTTTCCAGCTTCGCCTTGTTCTTTACAAGGTACGGGCTCCATGCTGGGGCCGCATACTCCAGGATTGGCCTTACATATGTGGTATACAAGGTTCTGAATGATTCCTTTCACAAGTTCCTGAAGGCTGTTCTGATGTTAGCCAGCCTCACATACGCCCCAGGTGTTATTCTTTTGATGTGGGCTTCAGGAGACAGGGATGGTGTGATATCAACTCCCAGATCCTTCTCTCTGTTCGTTTCGTGAAGGACTTCATATCCCATTCTGTATCCTGTGTCTGGCCTCCTGTTTCCACCGCCTAGTTTCATTACCTTACATTTACTCGGGTTGAACTTTAGTAGCTATTTGTGTGGTATTAGGGTGCTCCCCCCTCCCCCCACACACTACTCACATGCATGTTATTTTGAAGATTTTCAAAAGTATTAGGTAAAATATTGCTAATATTGAGAGAACTGTTCGCTACACAAGTGCAGTTGTGTAAAGAGTGGTGTGAATGTTTACCTTCGGCTCCATTCATTAATATCAACTCCAGTTACCTTCACTTTTTGGTACATACATTTTAGTTCATGAACCAGACGGTGACGAAGCCTAGCAAAACAAAAGCTAACAATCTAACTTAACCTAACCTAACGGAACTTTGCCTTGTGTAATCTGAGGTTACTTGACCAGCGAGGAGGACTTAATGTTGTTGAAGCCTTGAGTGTTTCAAGTTAGGACAAATAAGGTTGAGATGGGTGGAGCGGAGTAAGATACACCGCTTATAGTGTGTGGGGTAAGGAAAGCTTGGAGCCTGGTATAATGTTACTAATATGAGGTTGTTGTCGGCAGGTAGCGAGGAGCTCCACCGCCCAGGCAGACGTCCACACTCTCCAGGTAAGTCCCTCACCTCCACACTATCATGCCACTGTCTGCTGTGCAAGCTTCAACCACCTGGTTGATGGGGTTCTGGGAGTTCTTCTACTCCCCAAGCCCGGCCCAAGGCCAGGCTTGACCTACTCCCCAAGCCCGGCCCGAAGCCAGGCTTGACTTGTGAGAGTTTGGTCTCCAGGCTGTTGCTTGGAGCGGTCCGCAGGCCCACATACCCACCACAGCCCGGTTGGTCCGGCACTCCTTGGAGGAATAAATCTAGTTTCCTCTCCAACTTACTTCTCGCTTCAGTCACCAGTCTTGCCAGCCTTCCAGCCAGCCTGGAAGACGGACAAGACATGTGATTCTCGTCTCATTTTATGGCCTATTACTCGAGGTAACATTTGTCGAATGCCTTTGTGAAAGCCGGGTATAAAACATGTGTGTTTTGTTTTCCGTCTAATGTTTCCATGATTTTATCGGTGGTTGAATAACTGTGAAAGTCAGCATCTTCCTGCTTCAGACCCGAGGCTGAGTGCACCAGTATGTTGTCACGGTATTCCTCAAAATCTGCAGTGTTCGTGTTTATGTCTGTTATATTGTTAGAGGTTTGGTTATCGTTCATGAAGAAGCTGTTTGGTTATCGTTCAGGAAGAATCTGTTCGGATATCGTTCATGAAGAAGCTGTTCGGATATCGTTCAGGAAGAAGCTGTTCGGATATCGTTCATGAAGAAGCTGTTCGGATCTTCAACTCCCACGTTGTTTTCTGGTGAGCCGTGCGCCTCACACGGGCCTGTGTTATGTTGGCACCAAATGAAGTCTTGGTGTGAAACAGGTACTGGGAGAGTGGCCATGTTGGCCGGGGCGGCGTCACTCGTATATCCCCGCCTCCAGCGCTCTCTCGCATCTGGGGATGGTGCAGTGCCACTAGTACCACCCCCTGCCCTCCTGGCACCCCTCCCCTGGTCGGGTAGGGGGGCACCACTGCAGTACATCACGGGGTGGAGGGGGGCACCACTGCAGTACATCTCAGGGTGGAGGGGGGCACCACTGCAGCACATCACAGGGTGGAGGGGGGCACCACTGCAGTACATCACAGGGTGGAGGGGGGCACCACTGCAGTACATCACAGGGTGGAGGGGGGCACCACTGCAGTACATCACAGGGTGGAGGGGGCACCACTGCAGCACATCACAGGGTGGAGGGGGCACCACTGCAGCACATCACGGGGTGGAGGGGAGCACCACTGCAGTACATCTCAGGGTGGAGGGGGGCACCACTGCAGCACATCACAGGGTGTAGGTGGGCACCACTGCAGTACATCACAGGGTGGAGGGGGGCACCACTGCAGCACATCACAGGGTGGAGGGGGGTACCACTGCAGCACATCACGGGGTGGAGGGGAGCACCACTGCAGTACATCTCAGGGTGGAGGGGGGCACCACTGCAGCACATCACAGGGTGGAGGGAGCACTACTGCAGTACATCACGGGGTGGAGGGGGGCACCACTGCAGCACATCTCAGGGTGGAGGGGGGCACCACTGCAGTACATCACGGGGTGGAGGGGGGCACCACTGCAGCACATCACGGGGTGGAGGGGGGCACCACTGCAGCACATCTCAGGGTGGAGGGGGGCACCACTGCAGTACATCACGGGGTGGAGGGGGGCACCACTGCAGCACATCACAGGGTGGAGGGGGGCACCACTGCAGCACATCTCAGGGTGGAGGGGGGCACCACTGCAGCACATCTCAGGGTGGAGGGGGGCACCACTGCAGCACATCACAGGGTGGAGGGAGCACCACTGCAGCACATCACAGGGTGGAGGGGGGCACCACTGCAGCACATCACAGGGTGGAGGGGGGCACCACTGCAGCACATCACAGGGTGGAGGGGGGCACCACTGCAGCACATCTCAGGGTGGAGGGGGGCACCACTGCAGCACATCTCAGGGTGGAGGGGGGCACCACTGCAGCACATCACAGGGTGGAGGGGGGCACCACTGCAGCACATCTCAGGGTGGAGGGGGGCACCACTGCAGCACATCTCAGGGTGGAGGGGGGGCACCACTGCAGCACATCTCAGGGTGGAGGGGGGCACCACTGCAGTACATCACAGGGTGGAGGGGGCACCACTGCAGTACATCTCAGGGTGGAGGGGGGCACCACTGCAGCACATCTCAGGGTGGAGGGGGCACCACTGCAGCACATCTCAGGGTGGAGGGGGGCACCACTGCAGCACATCTCAGGGTGGAGGGGAGCACCACTGCAGTACATCTCAGGGTGGAGGGGGGCACCACTGCAGTACATCACAGGGTGGAGGGGGGCACCACTGCAGTACATCACAGGGTGGAGGGGGCACCACTGCAGTACATCACAGGGTGGAGGGGGCACCACTGCAGCACATCACAGGGTGGAGGGGGGCACCACTGCAGCACATCACGGGGTGGAGGGGAGCACCACTGCAGTACATCTCAGGGTGGAGGGGGGCACCACTGCAGCACATCACAGGGTGTAGGTGGGCACCACTGCAGTACATCACAGGGTGGAGGGGGGCACCACTGCAGCACATCACAGGGTGGAGGGGGGTACCACTGCAGCACATCACGGGGTGGAGGGGAGCACCACTGCAGTACATCTCAGGGTGGAGGGGGGCACCACTGCAGCACATCACAGGGTGGAGGGAGCACTACTGCAGTACATCACGGGGTGGAGGGGGGCACCACTGCAGCACATCTCAGGGTGGAGGGGGCACCACTGCAGTACATCACGGGGTGGAGGGGGGCACCACTGCAGCACATCACGGGGTGGAGGGGGGCACCACTGCAGCACATCTCAGGGTGGAGGGGGGCACCACTGCAGTACATCACGGGGTGGAGGGGGGCACCACTGCAGCACATCACAGGGTGGAGGGGGCACCACTGCAGCACATCTCAGGGTGGAGGGGGGCACCACTGCAGCACATCACAGGGTGGAGGGGGGCACCACTGCAGCACATCACAGGGTGGAGGGAGCACCACTGCAGTACATCTCAGGGTGGAGGGGGGCACCACTGCAGCACATCACAGGGTGGAGGGGGGCACCACTGCAGCACATCACAGGGTGGAGGGGGGCACCACTGCAGCACATCACAGGGTGGAGGGAGCACCACTGCAGTACATCTCAGGGTGGAGGGGGGCACCACTGCAGCACATCACAGGGTGGAGGGAGCACCACTGCAGTACATCACAGGGTGGAGGGGGCACCACTGCAGCACATCTCAGGGTGGAGGGGGGCACCACTGCAGCACATCTCAGGGTGGAGGGGGCACCACTGCAGCACATCACAGGGTGGAGGGGGGCACCACTGCAGCACATCTCAGGGTGGAGGGGGGCACCACTGCAGCACATCACAGGGTGGAGGGGGCACCACTGCAGCACATCTCAGGGTGGAGGGGGGCACCACTGCAGCACATCTCAGGGTGGAGGGGAGCACCACTGCAGTACATCTCAGGGTGGAGGGGAGCACCACTGCAGTACATCTCAGGGTGGAGGGGAGCACCACTGCAGTACATCTCAGGGTGGAGGGGAGCACCACTGCAGCACATCACAGGGTGGAGGGAGCACCACTGCAGTACATCTCAGGGTGGAGGGGGCACCACTGCAGCACATCTCAGGGTGGAGGGGGGCACCACTGCAGCACATCACAGGGTGGAGGGGGCACCACTGCAGCACATCACAGGGTGGAGGTACAATAATAGTGTAGTGCCATTATAGAACACAGGTACCTTGAATACCTGTTCAGTAACAACTGAAAATTGTGTTTGTAATACACTTGCACATATATTGGGTGTTGGCTTGAGCCACCGTCGGGCACTAAGGCACTGTAGTAAGTGGTCCACCTTCACAGTCTTATGGCCACAGTTACGGTGTGTGGTAAGTGAGCGCCTCGACTCCCGCCACTTGTAATGTCTGCTACTGGTCACGGTACTGTGGACGTCTTGTTGCACGGTCACGGCTCGTCTTCACCGTGTTGTTGTTGTTGTTGACACAATACAACACCCACCTTCACTTGCAACACACATACAATACACGACAAAATATGACAAGAATTCATTGTGTGCGAGAAAGTGTTGAGACCATTTCAAGTTCTCTTTCAAAATCTTGTACGCTCGTGTTGATATCAGTAAATATAACTGATATCAACACGAGCGTACTAGATTTTGACAGAAATTGAAAACATGCCCATGTACTCAGCTCCGGGTCCAGATTCATGGAATTTAAATTTTATAAAGAAATCCAAGGTGCCAGTAGCACAGGAACTCAGAATAGTGTGGAGGAAGAACTTGGACACGGGGGAGATACCAGATGCGCTTAAGTAACAGACATTGCCCCTCTACACAAGGGAGGGAGCAAAGCATTGGCAAAGAATTATAGATCAGTTGCACTAACGCCCCACATAATAAAAATATTTGAGAGAGTGATCAGGAGTCAGGTCACCAGGTTCATGGAGACCAATGACCTCCACAACCCAGGCCAACATAGATTTCCAGCGGGAAGATCATGCCTCTCACAGCTACTGGATCACTACGACAAAGTCACTGAGGCATTAGAAGAAAAACAGAATGTAGATGTGGTATACACGGACTTCGCAAAGGCTTTCGATAAATGTGACCATGGAGTGATAGCTCACAAAATGAGGTCAATGGGAATAACTGGTAAAGTTGGACGGTGGATACTCAGTTTTCTGTCAAACAGGACTCGGCGAGTAATGGTCAACCATATAAAATAAGAGTCCAAGCGCAGTTGAAAGCTCTGTACCTCAAGGTACAGTCCTTGCACCACTGCTTTTCCTTATTCTCATATCAGATATAGACAAAAATACAAGTCACAGCTTCGTATCATTCTTTGCAGATGACACAAAAATCAGCATGAAAATTACCTCGGCTGAAGACAATGAAAAACTTCAAGCTGATATTAATAAAGTTTTCGACTGGGCAACAGAAAATAACATGATGTTTAACAGTGATAAATTCCAAGTACTCAGG